TTTTTCCCCAAGTCTACTTTTCCAAAAATGCAAACATTGATGGAAATTTATGGATTTACTGATGACAGTATTAAATATTTTAGACAAAGAATCATTTTTGAGATCGTCCCCCTCCGTCTTCCCGAGTTGATATTGATAAAAAGGTAGATATAGAGAAAAATGGAAAAGATCACTTCATATGTCCGCAGAACTTTTGCATTAAGGGTGTAAAAGGTTTAGAAATCTCACATTCTCACTTGTACAAAAGCATACCTACTTGGATGCCCCTTGAATTGTCATTCTAAAACAGTAACTAAAACTTTACACACGCATACCTTGTGGTTTTTTTAATACAGAGGAAATGTTATTCTCCCGCAATTCGCGTTTTATGAACGCAGGAAAGCCAACAGAATTTTTATTCATAAAATTTTACGTGCCTCTACTACGACCCGCGTATGTACTGCAGGGTGCGTTGTCCCAATTCAGATATAGGTTTTATAATGCTACCAAAATTGCGAGTGTCGCTACGTGGGCTCCTGCCTTTTAATTCTTGATATCCACTTTTCGGTCGTTTCAAGCGTATAGAAAATAATCCAAGTTTACGGCTTTCAGCAACCATTAATACGAAACCCGAGAAAATACATGCGCACATTATTTGTTAAAGATAAACCGTCAAGACCGAACTTTTAGATTAACAACGGTAACGCAATTAAAATTTCCATTACGGAAAATAATGTTAACATTAGAAATGAGTATTTACCATTTCCAGTTATAAAATGATCTAACTACACTAAAAGGACTGTTTACATTCTGCCTCGAAGAACGTTAATTTAAAACTTGAGGCGTAATGCCTCTTTTAAATTTGTTTGGAGACTGCTTTTATTAAAATTTAAAATTGTTCAAAATCATTTTCACTGGATGCGTGGGCACAAATCCTGACATTGAAATTGTTGGCGTAGGGTTGCGTAAAATTAATTATGTAGGTATAAATCAATTATTGATACGGCGAGGGGGCCGCTGGACTAAATCCAAATTTAGAAATTTAGTAGATAGAGTTGTTTAGAAATTCATTGGCACTAGCGGTACATATACAAATTATATAACAAAATTGCCATTCTTCCCGTTTTCAATTCCACAGTTTTATATTTGAATTTGTTCATATTACAGTCCGGAATTTCAATTTCTTTTTCTTTCTCTTATTCTCTTGTGCCTTACGGCACGGGTGTGTATTGTTTGTAACGAGAGCAATTATTTGCGTTTTATTTTTTTGCAATTTTTTCCGTTTGAATATGTGGAAAGAGAGTTTTCTAAGTTTAAAAGGTCTCTGGAACATTCAACCAAACAAATATTACTCATAGCAAGTTTTAAGTTTTTATTTTGTCGATTGTAATACAGCAAGCTTTTTTGCCTTTCTCACAGTGTCGTCAATGAGATATTTGTTATAAATTGAATCTGGCGCCCCATTGTGTTGATTTACACGCTGGAAATAGGTCATAGTAATACTACGTTGCGAATTAAGCATTCCTTGGGGGAAAAAACAAGCTTAATTTGCAGAGTATGCATTTCTGTAGAGAGAAAATTAATAACATATCTCCCCGATTACTATTGCACCATTAAGTAATCGTGAAAAAAAAGCTTACTTAGAGTTGAGAGAGGGGATTATTTTGCACTAAAATTCGGCATTCTGGTTTGGGTAGTCAACCGGGTCAGAACAGATTGTTTTGGCGTTTGGAGAGTCGTTCGGAAATAACCGAGCTTATAAAAACAGTTTGAAGTAGTGTTTCAAGGCGACCGTAGGGTCCATTTAATAACCAGTTGGTTTTTTGGGAGATAGGCATTTACTCCAGTAGAAGAATTACGTGGTGATAAAATCGAAGTATCCCGCTCTTGGGACGCACTAAAATCTTACGTAGGGGTCGTTTTTATATTTCTGACCTGGGCTGTTTTCTAATCACACATGCCTTGGTAACTTGTGGACAATCTATAAAGCAATTGCAGGCAATTATTTTTTGGAACTCCCAGGAAACTGTACTGATTGATTATATGAACAAGAGTAGTGCGTTAACAAAAGACGTATTAATAATGAAAAATCATTAGCTTCGGCTCTGCTGGTATCATTACCAGACTAGGTTAATGTTCCACAACGACAAATTCGGTTGCAGTTGTTGCTCTGTGTGTAATTGAAAAAATCACGTGCATAGACTTCAAGAATTAGATCTGTTCCGTCTCAACTTGCCTGTAATTTTGTCGACAGACAAATGGTTTAATTTAATATTAAACTAACTGTGATTTATTAATGTGAATTTTCATTTTTAGGATTGATTTTCCAACCATTAATGTCACGGCTATTGTATTGTTAATCATGGTGTGCGTGTGCGGTAATTTTCTTCAAAGTTCGAATATAGAAATCAATTTCTCAGTCTTCAGTTAAATGAAGTGGGCAATTTTTTTGTGTACTTCTTTCTTCTTTGTAATTCTTAGCACAGTCGATTCATCAGGCCCATCATTTTTAGTTAGGGAGTTTGGGAACTCAAAAGGGTATTATAACTTTTAAAGTAGAGAAAGAAATTACCTAAAAGACGAGCTATGTGCGGGCTCTGTAACCCAATTAGTTCCAGAGATACAGCTCGAGATACAGCTCTGTGAATATTCACTCTTGGTATGTTCGGCAGCCTTCATGCGATAACGCGAACCAGAGCAACTTTGTGGGCAGCTGCAAGACAGACTCTTCAAAAGAAGCATGCTCTCTACTTTCTCATGGCTTGCGTCCGGCTGCAGGAACAGTCCATTTTTCCACGAGATCCGGCTTTTGGGATAAGACGGAGCAGAATTTCAATTTCCCCTGCGAAAAAACTGCAGATGTGGTGTCACAGACACTTAGAGCATGCAACACCACCACAACTCCACTAGAGACGTCTGGAATTTTCAAGGAGATGCAGGAATCCGCGTATTCTCTGCCACTTTGGTGTAGGTATTACGTGTAGTTACCGTCTCAACGTCTTCACATATGGTGAAAACTCTGGGAAAGTCGTGGCTCTTGAAGAAACAGAATAAGAAAGTAATTTCACTTTTTTTGAACACAGAGCTGTATCTCTGGAACTAATTGGGTTATAGAGGCCGTTTTTTATGTTTCCCCCTCAAAACACCCCTTTACTTCTTTGTTTGCGAAAAACTGAAAAAAGTTCAAAACTTTTTTTTGGAAACACCTTTTCTTTTAAGAGTAAGAAAAAATGGACCTAGGTTTCAGGAGCTCATTTTTAAAGAGAAAATTACTGGAATAAACAGAACTCAGCTATCTCTAATCGTTTGACCCGTAGAGGGCGTTTCTCGAATTTGGTCGATTTCTTTAATGCGCCATATCTTTCATACATATTATTAAAGATAATTGATTTTGGCAAAATCATTCTTATGGCACTTTTTTTATGTAGAATCCATCGCAGTTTTTATCAGGGTGTTTGGTTTTTCCTATACGACCCTAAGCTACATTTGTTCATTATGGACCAACCACCCTATATATTTTGGAGTTTCTGAAAGAGCGCAAATTTCCTAAATTGTGGGGTACTCGCATGTTATTTTAATTCATCAAGAGTGCATTATAAACACAATTGCAAACGTGTCAAAATTTCATTTTTGCAGAGATCTGAAAATTTTAACGATTATCAAATTTTGAAAGTTGTAAACTAATCTTCACTTATTCCCATAAACTAATTAGGAACAAGGACACACATAGTTATAATTTACGTGTTAATAACCTTTTCCAAATCCCTACTTTTAAAAGAAAGCTAACCGCGAACTCTCCCATGGTTCTTGGCGAACAAATGTATAATAAACTGTCTCATTATATAATAGGCTCAGAATCTAAAATTCTGGATTCTAAATCTTACACCACTACTGAGTTTTTTAAGTATTAATTGTTAGTTTGTAATTGAGTTGTGCTATACATATTATGTTTTGTTATCCTATACGCTAAAATATATTATTATTATTGTTTACCTGCAAATTTTGCTAGATACGCCATTACTGTTACTTGACTTATGCCTGAAAAGGGCTATCACCATATTTTTTAAGTTAACGTCACGTTTATGCCTTTATTTCACCGATTTTTCGGACAATTCGTCGTCAATCAAAATTTTGCTTTTGCTATTGTGAAGTCGTTTGATTTATTCATTCTTATTGAGTATTAATCACGGTTTTAGTATACAAGTACCCGAGTGTCAGATGTTAAACATTGCTACCTCTATATTAATGCGTCGCCCTATTCACTATCCCTCTCGTTTGTTTTGATTGTGTTACTGTCTGTTACAGATAAGGCAGAAAAGCGCCCTTATGAGCTCAAAAAGGCGTTGCGACCAGAGAATTTCAAAGGTATTTTTTATTTTCGACGATTCCTTGATATAAAGCATACTGGTTTTCGATAAAATCGAAATGTAATT